GCCTCTGGGCTGGCCCTGTGTCCCCCGAGGCGCCCGCTGTCCCTGACACCCGTCTCTCCCCCAGCACTACCTGACGGAGATCGAGGTCCTGGCCATCGTCTTCGCTGCCGCCATCCACGACTACGAGCACACGGGCACCACCAACAGCTTCCACATCCAGACCAAGTGAGGGCAGGTGGCACTGCACGGCATGGCACGGCACGGCGTGCTGCCGGTGCCGTGGGGACACGTGGGACATCGAGGAACATGGAAAGGGTTGGCCACCTGGCACCCTGGGGACACGAAGGACACCTGGGGTGCACCCCTGTGGCCAGGCATATAGATGTGGTGGCACTATGGGGACATGCAGGACACCTGAGGGCCACCGATATGGCTGGGGATACAGATGTGGTGGCACTAGGGGCACACACAGGACACCTGGGTGGCACTGCTATGGCTGGGCAGCCAGACGTGCTGGCACTATGGGGACATGCAGGACGCCAAGAGGTCACCAGTGCGGCCACGGATGCAGATGTGCAGCACTACAGGGACACACAGGACCTCTGGGGCTCCCTGATATGGCCAGGGATACAGATGTGCTGCAACATGGGGACACCTGGGGGTCCCCGATATGGCCAGAAGTACAGATGTGCTGGTGCTATGGAGACATCCCCCCAGCTCGTGTCCCCTGGGGGGGGCTCAGCCTGCCCGTGGCCATGCAGGGCCCCCCTGGGCCACGGGTGCTGTGCTGTTGGCGGGTGCTGGAGTGGGGTGGCCGGGCGTTGGGGCCATGCTGTCCCCTCTCGCCCCAGGTCGGACTGCGCCATCCTCTACAACGACCGCTCGGTGCTGGAGAACCACCACATCAGTGACGGTGCGTGTTTCTCTGTGCGGCGCAGGGAGCTGCGGGCCTTGGTCATCGAGATGGTCCTGGCCACCGACATGTCCTGCCACTTCCAGCAGGTGAAGTCCATGAAGACCTCCCTGCAGCAGCTGGAGCGGTGAGTGCGGGGCACGAGGGCCCCATGGGGACGTCTGCATGGATGTGCACGTGTGTGTGCAAAGGCGTGTGCACTTACATGAGCGCAACACGTCGCAGGGAGCTGCGGGCCTTGGTCATCGAGATGGTCCTGGCCACCGACATGTCCTGCCACTTCCAGCAGGTGAAGTCCATGAAGACCTCCCTGCAGCAGCTGGAGCGGTGAGTGCGGGGCACGAGGGCCCCATGGGGACGTCTGCATGGATGTGCACGTGTGTGTGCAAAGGCGTGTGCACTTACATGAGCGCAACACGTGAAATGCATGTGCATTTACGGGTGTGCGTGCATGCACAGGTATGTGCACCTCTGCATGTAGGTGTGCAAAGTGTGCACACGTGCAAAGTGTGCGTGGGTGCATATTGCACTTATGCACATGTGTGTGACTGTGCGTGCACGTATGCAGCTGTGTGCACATGCGCTTGTGCGTGTGAGGGCATGTGTGCGTGCAAATATATATATGTGTGTGTGCATGCATGTGTGTGCACATGGGGGGGTGTGCATGCATGTGTGTGTGTGTTTATGCATGCACGTGTGTGTGTGTGTGTGTGTACGAGGAAATTGCAGGCAGGACTTTGACCAGCTTCATGCCCGTGATAAGGGACCGTGGATCGGGAGGGTGACGCTGGAGAGGGGCCACCGGCTCCGTGCACACCTCCCCGCGTGGGCCCGCTTGCACGTGTGCGAGCCTGCGTGGCCGGGCCGTGCTTGGGGCGGCGAGCGGGGCCCGTCCCAGCCCCA